ATATCAACAATACTTAAAACACTTCCCATGTGAGACCTTTTTCACTAAACCCAAAATAAAAATGTCTAAGTATCTTTGTAAATTTAAGAAACATGTGTGACATGACAAAGTAACTGCATAATCTTGTATTTGTAACTGTTCCCTTCCCCTTATTCCCTTTTTGTTTGTCATTTGATAGCCACAGAAGGTCTGGCCAGGCAGAGCACGTTGCAGTATTGGGGCTTTAGACTGTAAGCACTTCAGGGTAGGGAACATATTTTATTTGGTGGGGAGGTGTTCGGCAAATCTTGGGACTCGGAAAATAATAGCCTACACTTTTAGAAAAAGCTTGATAGAATGGATAGACTTTTCAATATGTGATGGAGATCAACAAATTTTGGTTCTGTTGGACCAAGGGGAGAAGTGCATGCTGGAATTGAGGACTCGTGACTGAAAACACCTGGTTGAACATTCAAAAGTAGCTGAGAGTCCAATAAGATTGCAAACTTTAATAATACACCCACATTTAGAGGGCCAAAAATAATCTCTCTCTCCCCACTGGTTGCTTCCTCCAGACAGGCAGCATTGCCTTTGTTTTCTTTGAAAGGAGCTCCAGGCAGCCACTTCTTATCCAAATTCCAGAGACTGGCTAAGATGAACAACTGCACCATCTGGGGCCAGTGAAAAAGAAATAATAGAGCTGAGTGGTGTCAGCAGACTTTCTCACTATCTCCTCTAGATATCTTGCATACACATGGAAGAGGATGGGTGACAGAATAGAACTTTGTGGGACACCACATGAGAACCCTGGCAAAAAATGAGCAATTACGTAGCTCTACCCTCAGAGTGTACTCAGAGAGGAAATAATAGAGCTATTCAAGTGTGTTTCTTTCCATCCCTACCAGGGTTCACCAACAACACCTCATAGTCAACAGTGTCAAAGGCAAGGATAGATGTAAAAGAAACAATGGATACTCGATCCTTGTCTACCACTGTGATGATTCTTGAGACAAGTGTGGTCTGTATAGTGTTGCTGCCTAGTACCGGATGGAAAGATGTCAGAGAAATCTGACTCCAGCTATTGCTAGAGTTGCATTCCTGTCTCAGCAGAGTTCCCCAAGAAAAGATGTGAGACAGTGATAATTGCTGAGATTGTCAGTGTAAAAGATGCCTTCTTGAGTATAGTTTAACAATTATTTGTTTTAGAGATACTGGCACTTTGCCCTTCTGATGAGATGTACCATCTTCCTACCTAATGACCCAATCTCTCCCCACTAGATTTACCAGTAAAAGATTAAATGGACCTAAGTTATATCTGAAACTCCCTGAGTATCCAGAACGTCACTAATTCGCTTATGTTACAATGGCTAGTTAACAATTGACGAGGTGGTGATCGTTGGTCCCTGCTGTTCTAATCTAATATTGAATAAGTGCCTCATAAGCAAAAGGCTTCATATCCAATTACCAATCTCATGACCAACCTAATATTTTACAGTTACAGACTAATGGGCCTCACAAATACAAAGTCTTGAATTACACTTATCCTTTTGGCACTGCTCATGAATACAGAAAGGAAATTATTGTGCATTAGCCATAAAAATATTTGTTGAATAAAAAAGGGTAGTGAAGCAAGAATGCATGGCTGATGATGAAAGACAAACTTGTTTATCTTATACACTGAAGAAATTGTTTAAACAGTCTTTCCAAAAATACTATCTGTCTTAAATTGACAAAATCCAGTGTTGACATAAGTGTTTGTTTGCCTTGCATATTCAATCTGCCAGGAAATTGCTTTAATCTCTGCACCTGACTTAGAAACATAGAATATCAGGGTTGGAAGGGACCTGTTCAAACATTTCCCAGTTTTTACTCATAAATCATCTTTTCTTGTGTCTTCTAAAGAGATGAGGTGTTTTTGGTTTTTTTGATCCATCATCCTTTTTAGTACTGGCACATCTATTTTGGTATACTTGAAAATAGACTCATGGTGCAAGTTTTCTGTGCCATTTACACACACAAAAAATTCTGCCTTCTGGGAATGTAAATAGTTTCAGATGAGAGCCCTCAGTTGTGGTAATATTTTAATTTTTATAATCCTGGCATACATCTCATCTGAAATTTGAGGTTTTCAATGAATAGGGAGTGTAATATGTATTCTGTGGACAATCTCTTATTTGCTAAAACACAGTATCTCATTTTTATTTCTGAAACCTGCTCACATTGACTTTAGAATCTTTTTAATTTATTTGTGCTTGTTTACTCAGTGTTTTTAAGAAGAATTCTGAACCAGGTAATGTAGATTTTTGTCTAAAAATGAAAGGCCTGGTTCACTACTATGCTCCAGCACTGCAAAATAGCCATAAACCTGGTTTAACTGGTTCAGCCAGTTGCATGACATCACCAGAACAGTGTAAAACAGCTGACCCTGTCAGTGAATTTGGCCCAAAAAATCTGTTAAAACTCAGTGTGTTGGTTCTAAAATTCAAGTGTGGTTTCCAGCCTTGAATATCAAGGACCTATATTAAGTCCACTCAGTTGTTTAGTTGGTTTTATTTCATTAAATTATCTGATCAATTCAGTAAGATGTCTGAAAAAAGAAAAGGAGTACTTGTGGCACCTTAGAGACTAACCAATTTATTTGAGCATAAGCTTTCGTGAGCTACAGCTCACTTCATCGGATGCATACTGTGGAAACTGCAGAAGACATTATATACACAGAGACCATGAAACAATACCTCCTCCCACCCCACTCTCCTGCTGGTAATAGCTTATCTAAAGTGATCACTCTCCTTACAATGTGTATGATAATCAAGTTGGGCCATTTCCAGCACAAATCCAGGTTTTCTCACCCCCCCCCTTTTTTTTCCCCAAAAACCACACACACAAACTCACTCTCCTGCTGGTAATAGCTTATCCAAAGTGACCACTCTCCTTACAATGTGTATGAAAATCAAGGTGGGCCATTTCCAGCATAAATCCAAGTTTAACCAGAACATTGGGGGGGGGGGGGGTTAGGAAAAAAACAAGGGGAAATAGGCTACCTTGCATAATGATTTAGCCACTCCCAGTCTCTATTTAAGCCTAAATTAATAGTATCCAATTTGCAAATGAATTCCAATTCAGCAGTTTCTCGCTGGAGTCTGGATTTGAAGTTTTTTTGTTTTAAGATAGCGACCTTCATGTCTGTAATTGCGTGACCAGAGAGATTGAAGTGTTCTCCGATTGGTTTATGAATGTTATAATTCTTGACATCTGATTTGTGTCCATTTATTCTGTTACGTAGAGACTGTCCAGTTTGACCAATGTACATGGCAGAGGGGCATTGCTGGCACATGATGGCATATATCACATTGGTGGATGTGCAGGTGAACAAGCCTCTGATAGTGTGGCTGATGTTATTAGGCCCTGTGATGGTGTCCCCTGAATAGATATGTGGGCACAGTTGGCAACGGGCTTTGTTGCAAGGGTAGGTTCCTGGGTTAGTGGTTCTGTTGTGTGGTATGTGGTTGTTGGTGAGTATTTGCTTCAGGTTGGGGGGCTGTCTGTAGGCAAGGACTGGCCTGTCTCCCAAGATTTGTGAGAGTGTTGGGTCATCCTTCAGGATAGGTTGTAGATCCTTAATAATGCGTTGGAGGGGTTTTAGTTGGGGGCTGAAGGTGACGGCTAGTGGCGTTCTGTTATTTTCTTTGTTAGGCCTGTCCTGTAGTAGGTGACTTCTGGGAACTCTTCTGGCTCTATCAATCTGTTTCTTCACTTCTGCAGGTGGGTATTGTAGTTGTAAGAATGCTTGATAGAGATCTTGTAGGTGTTTGTCTCTGTCTGAGGGGTTGGAGCAAATGCGGTTGTATCGCAGAGCTTGGCTGTAGACGATGGATCGTGTGGTGTGGTCAGGGTGAAAGCTGGAGGCATGTAGGTAGGAATAGCGGTCAGTAGGTTTCCGGTATAGGGAGGTCTGAATCTTCCCTCTAAACATAGACCAGTTAGCAGAAAGTACATTCACCATAATTAGCATTTTGTCTCAATTGCTTACACTTTAAAAATAGGACCCTGTAGCTTTTACATTTTATATATTTTTGTAAGGTAAAACATTAAATCAGAGGAATAAATCAAGCAAAAAATAACATAAAAAGAAATTAGATTTTGAAATTAGATCTGTTTTTGAGCAAAGCCCTTTCTAAATCTAAGAGATCCCATTTCTCATGAAAACATTCCAAGAAAGGAAATTTCTTACCTGCTAATTATAGATCTGAGAATATTGTGTTAAAGTAGACATACTACACACTTATTCTGAGAAATTAGATTTCATTTTTTTGTTTATTCATTCTGTTGTAGTTTATACTACTTACTGCCAGATTATTCAACTGGGAGCCTGCAAAGAGCTCTGAAAAACAATATAAAAATGGGGTCCCCATAAATTGCTCAGTTTTTTCCTGTTTCCACGTGTTGGAAGGGGCATGTAAACCAATTGTCCGGGCTGTACAAACAGTTCTTCAGGAAAAATAGTTAATGGCCAAACTTTTCCATTTATGTTTTTTCCAATCAATATCCCTTATTTCAATCCTGTAATAAAATTCGGATTAAAATAAGCAATGGATAAAGGCTAATAACACCAATATTTGTTGACTTTACCTGCAAACTTTAACCATATTTAAGCTGTATATAAAAGTGGTGTATTTAACTTCTAGATGATAATGACCTGGTTTTCAGAAGTGCTTAGCACCTTTGGAAAGCAGTCCATCTTTGTGTAGAAAAATCTCTAATTTCTCTGTCTTGTGCTTTTTTTTCCAACTTTTAAATTGTATCTTCAATTCTTTCCTTCAGTTAGAATCGATGGAAATAAGTATCAAATTCAGTACATACAATTTTGCAAATTAGTTTACTTCATTGATTGTTCCCCTTATTTATCTTATGAGTGTAGTGCACTGTTGTTAGCACACTACAAGCTTGGATGCTTAAATATTAGAATAATAGTATCTTCTTAAAATAGTTATTGCTGATTAAAATAATTGTTTTCTTTACAGGTAAGTCTAAATGGCAAGTAGGTGGAAAATCTAAGAGAGTGACTCATGGAACACATAAACCTACAAAACAGGTATATATGTTGAACTTTTCAGTTTCTTTTTAATTTCAATTACAGCATATAAATGTCATGAAATAGAACTAATATATTCAATATTGTGTGCGCATGGATGCATGTGTGTATATAAATAAGATTACATGCACACAACTGTCCTAAAAGAACATTATTAATGTTGCAAAGTTAAGTACACAGAAATTAGAAAATGCCACAATTAAGGTTGTCTCTCTATGCAACCTTAATTTGGCTCCGATATGCATTATGAAACATTCTTTAATTCTTCTAGTGATGTCACTATGTGTATTCTACGTGTGGGTACTTGTGTGCACCATGCACCAAAGTCCGGAAGTTCTTCAAAGCAGCGTCCATTGGCCTGCACAAGCGCAGTAGCTCTCCTTGTGCTCCCGACTCAGGATATAAGAGGCAGTGTAGGTTGATGCCTCTCCACCGCGTGGCCTGAGTTGGAATCATGTCCCCCTTCACTTTGTTTCATAACCTATATAGAAAACATTTGTAAATAGTTATATTCTTAGCTATGTAGTTAGCAGTTAAAAATTGAGTAATATAGAATATTTCTTTCTCCCTGGTTGGCAAACCTGTCCCCTGGCTCCAGGAATATGCCCAGAGTCCCAGGATTCAAGAATTGCACCTCTTGTCCTTGATCCTTCTTCATCAGTGACGAACATCAGCACTATCTGGGTGAAGCACATATCTCTGCAAAGTGCAGTATGTGTTGCTCCTTCTCACCCAGCACTCAAGAAGACTGGGAGCTTCACCTACGGAAGCACCCGATGGAGAAGGCTATGAGGCCCCTCTCCAATCCAGGCCAGGGACGGTCTACTGTACTTTGGTCTCAGCATCCTAGCCGTGCCCTTCCAAGCACATGCCCTAGAATAGGTGGTGCTGGAACACTTTTAATAGTGGGAGTGCTGAAAGACAGCCCCCTTCCCATTGTCTGCCCCCTTCCCTCCCAGAACTGCGGCTGGGAGCAGGGCCGTGCCTCCAGGAAAGGGGGACCCGGACAGGGTAAGGAGGCCGAGGCTTGGGCCACAGTTCGGGGCAGGGGCGGGTCCAAGAGAGGACCCTGGACACGGGAGCAGCAGCTGGGACCCCGGGAGCAGGGCCGGGAATCCGTGTACAGGGCAAGGAGCGGAGCCCAGACGTGAGGCCAGCAGCTGGGACCCTGCGTGTGGCCCCCCGCACTCCTCATTCTTGCGCCTATGCCTGAAGTAGAGCTGTCAATATCTAAATCCAAGGACTCTTCTTCCAGGGTTTCCTCATGAGAGAAGAGGGCTCTCTCATGGGCGCAAGGACAGATTCCTGTTGAGGACAGACCATAAGAAACGCACTTCCTCCCTGAGCTGGTCCAGGTTGGGTGAGACATTGCGAGCAGAACCTAAGTACCTGGCTCTAATGAAGACCCTCAGATCTGAGGACAAGATACATAAAAAGAAATATCCGCCAGTTCCATCTGTCACCTCAATACTGAAGTGTAAGGATAGCTGCTTGCCAATTCTGTCTACAAGTGCAGGTCTGGACCCATTATCAGTACTCTCTCATCTCTTTAAAGACCGTCTGGTCGCTGCACTGGATCTATCAGACTTAACTGCAGGAACCCCTTGGACACCAGGGTGCAATGAGACTTATGTGACACCAAAGGATATATTCCTCCCTTATCCACAGTCTCTGATTCTTTCAGCCCTCCTAACGGATGTCCTTACTCCCGAGGAGGAGCCTACATCACTGACCCAGGAGCCATCTCACCTCCAAGCATCTGGTAGGAGTGCCCCGATACCAATGGCACTGCCACTATCGATGGAGCAGTCCTTGGACTCAGATGAATCAGAGGAGATGGCTGCACTGGTATCTCCGCAAAGGCAGTTGAGCCCTGATAGACAGTCAAAGGGTTATGCTTGCCATTCTGCCAGGTTACAGCCTCCCCAGAGGCCGCTAGTACTGTTTTCCTTGGGTCCTTTGCAACTGATCAATCCCTTTTTCTGGCCTTAGAGGGGGCTGTGGGATCCTTATAGCAGGCGTCCGGCCCCTCTCAGGAGTCATACCGCTCCTCTTTCTCTTGCCAGTTGGTTCTCTTGGTGTGTGAAGAGAAAGAGGTGGAACCGGATCCGCAGATACCAATGATTCCGACAGGTGACTCTTAATCAATCCCGGACGAAGCAGTCACTCCTTCCTTGCCTTTTCTGCTGGATGACCATTGTCAATACCAGGAGCTGTTACAAGGAGTGGCCAGGGACCTACAGATCCCATTAGAGGAGGTCCAGGACTCTCCGCACTGGCTCCTGGTCATGTTGCAGCCAAAGGCCCCAGTAAGGTGGGCTCTGCCCATCAATGAGGCCATACTAGAACGAGCTAGAGCAGTATGGTGCGCTCCAGCATCCTGTGTCTCAACACTAAATACAGAGAGATGGTATTTTGTTCCTGTGAAAGGGGCTGAATTCTTACTCTCATCCTGCACCCAACTCTCTGGTGGTAGAGGCGACTGTTGAAAGGGCTAGGTCTCACTAACTTTACATGTAATGTTGAGGCATACCTATGATTGACCAGTAAGTTATTACTTGTCAGTGATACCTCACCAGGCATATTTTGTGCAAAGATTAGCAGATAAAGGCTCTAAGAGATTGGACCTCCTGGGGAGAAAAGTCTTCTCCTCCCCAGGCCTGCAATTTTCTGTCACCAACTACCAAGTGTTAGCAAAATACAATTTTCATACCTGTTCTAGGCTTGCAGACTTCACAGACAAGCTTTTCACAGAGGATGGTCCAATTTCAGTCTCTTTTAGGTGAGGGAAAGCTAGTGGCAAAGGTGGCTCTTCAGACTGCAGTGGATGTGGCAGAAACAGCTTCTAGAAGTTTGGTCTAATCATGAGGAGGGACTCCTGGCTGCAATCGTCAGGGTTTCCTGGGGACATCCAAAACACCATCCAGGACCTTCCTTTTAACAGATTGAATCTCTTTAATGAGAAAATGGATGAATCCCTGCACTCGCTAAAAAACTTGAGATCGACTCTGCATTCCTTGGGGATTTATACTCTGGCTCCCAGGAGGATATACCTGAGGCAACTTTGTAGATCAAGGCTACCCCCTCCTCATGCATCTTTTTACCAGTGCAGTGCCGAGCTACTGTGCAAATGTCAGAGGATTCAGAGGCCTTGCTTCTCGGCCCCCTCTATTGCCGTACCCTCTACTCACTGTCAACCACCACCCAAGAGCCACTTTTGAAGTGTGTTATAATTTATAGGTACATTCATAAAAGCCCTTACATGATACACTGATGTTGTATTCAATTAGTTGCTTCAATTGCTTATCACTAGCAGTTCAGCCCTCTGTCTTTATAGAGCTGTAAACCTTTTAAATGGATTCTTTGGAAGTTACCCCTCAAAGGAAAATTTATTCAAACAGTGAGGAAGGCGGCATGGAGTCTGCTGGTGGAAGAAGCTTCATGCTTTTTTTTTTCTCCTAATTATGTTTGCTGGAATGCAAATCGTTGTGTTCCCTGCTATCTTTGTTCAGATGAACCTGTTTACTACTTACATATAAACTGAGATAAACGCACTCCTTTGTTCACGATAAACCTGTTTAACAACTTTTGCCTAGGCAGGGCTGTTTGCTTTTGAACATGTGCTATTAACACCATACAGATGGAATTCATAACTTTACATATAATGTTGAGGCATACATATGATTGACCAGTAAGTTACTAGTTTTCAGTGATACCTCACTAGGCATATTTTGTACAAAGAATATTACAGAAGTGTGTAGGATCTGAGTAAGGGGGTGCTTTGAGTCACATGGACACACACGGCATCTCTGTGCCAGATTTCAAGCCCCTGCTCCAATTCATGGAGGCCCTAGAGCTTTTCAAAGAAAAGGTCACTGGAATTTTTTCGTGTGAGGAGAACAATGTATTTTTCCCTAGCTTCATACTCTGAAATGGCTGAATCATGTTGGCTGAAAATTTCCCCAAAAAGTTCAGCCTGTGATAGACACCTGGCAGTCCAAACAGTTAGTTACAAGCAAAAACAGGATTTTACAATGGAAAGTGTCAGGCAACATAAATAATAGGCGGTGCTACCAGCTTTTCCTTTGATATTGAACTAATTATATAATAAGTGTTATATTAACAAAGCAATACATTTCTGCTTCTCGTCATGTTTGATCCTTTTTAACTGTTCCTCCTCTTTGATATAACAGTTTTAGCTTAACGTTTTGATCTGTAAGTCTGACAGTCTTTGATATTATGCATCATGGGAAATGTTATAAGGGAAAAAAAGAAAAATGTTCCTTTTTTATGTAAGTGAATAGGCAAGTTACTTTTCCACACTGCTCAGCAATTGGTATTCCTCTTTCTTGCTTCCTCTCCTTGCTTAAAATGCAAGTTAGATAAGATTTCCTTTTATTAGAAAAAAATTCTAATTTAGGCCCTAATCCTGCAGTCTGATCATGGAAGTGGAACTTTAATGGAGTAATTAGGGTTTCACGTGGAAGGGTCTGCCCCCACAGATCTAGTTTGGCACAAGGATGATCAGCTCCACCCTCTGGGTTCAGTTTAATTAGGTCCACTGGGAGATGGTGTAAATATTGAGCTTCAAGAAATATATTCTCCATTATTGCCCAGTTGGCTTGAACTGGAGTATTGGAGGCATCAGTGTGAAAACCTCATGGATACAACTTTAAAAATAGAAATTTTATGTTTTTGTGGCGTTTGTTTAGTCTTTTAAGTAAAAATAAATCCCAAAAGTGCCACAGCTCTGTTTAAATTCAGGCAAATATGCTTTTAATAGCTCCCTCTTCTGATCTTATCAACTTCTTCTTCCCAAGGTGTTGACAAATTTACATTCAAGAACTTCTTGCCATTCTCAAATAAACATACTTTATACTTGCTAGAACTGCTTCCTTTACACGGTGGAGTATTGAAACTTTTGTGCAAATAGATGAATAGATTATTCAGTTTTTAATATAGGAGCTTTTCACCACATAACTGTAATTTGCGATGCAAGG